GGATGGAGGGAGAACACACACAACATTTACATTTATTAATAAACAATGAAAGAATAGGGTATGATTATGGACAGCCATACTCCATGGCCCAAAAGTAGAACATTATACTCACTTTAAGTTTTACTCCCCATCATTAAGTTTTACTAAAAGGCCTGGATAAAAAACGAAACACATGATTCTCTTAGACATCAAAGCTCACACTGGATTGTCTAGAGGAGAAAGTGACAAACTTCCCTGACACCAGAAGGAGGCCTTAATGTTTACAATTCAACACAGACATCATGCACAGACTCAGAAAACAATGATCAGACAAAGCCCCTTGAGATCTGTGGTGCAGCAGGAGAGCCACAAGGAGACTCTACAAACCCCCCAAATGACTAAACGACCCACTATATCCACCAACAAGAGTGACTACTGCTTTTCATTCATGATAACTATTCACACCTTAATCTTCCTAACACATAAATTACAAAGATGCCCAGTTCCTGAACTGTCCTACTTATTAAACCCTCCTTGTGATCAGCTGGCACAGCCCAATTCCCATAAACGCCCCTCTCAATCACCTTACCAAGACACCCACAGTTCCTGAGGTGTGCAATCCTCCTTGCTGCAGAAAGCAAAATGAACCTAATTTATTTAACAATAGGTTTGTTCCTGGCGATTCTTGGCTGATGGATTCCAACAGAGGCAATCCCGACAATGATCTTCCCAAATGTCAGACCATGGGTCCCTTTTATGGCTTTGAAAATTCAATCACCATAATTATGCTTTTCCATCAACCAAAGGGGTTAGTTCTTGAGAAACAAGAATTTGAGATTACTGTCAAAGAGTGACTATGGCCACCAGCCACCTCATTGTGTGACTCCCTAAGCCACTCTATTCATACTACTTCACCTCCCTGAATACAGACAGCAGAATGGTGGTGATGCAGAGGAGGCAGTAGCTTTGGGTGCTGCCACTAGCAGCGGTGTAGCCTCATTTCCTTCTTAGAGTTTCTATTAGTTCACAAAAAGAAACAAAATAGTCACCATAACCTAATAAATGCCATTTCAGATAGAATCATATTTCCCAACTTTAAAAACAATCATTTGTGAATTAAAAAAAAACAAAACACTAGGATGTTATAAATACATCTTCTGATACATAGAGATCTAAAACTAAAATTTCACCCTTAAAGGCCAAGTCCAGTTAAAATCAAGACACTAAATAAAAACTCTAATGACAGCAATGCATTTTTGAGCACTTACTATATGCCTGGATTTGTGCTATTTTACATACATCCATTATTTCATATCACCTATGCAGCAACCCTTTCCGAACTATTAATGTTCCCATTTTACAGATGAGGAAACAGAGGTTCAAAGAAGATGACTAATTAACCCAGGTCACCGAGCTTCTGGTGGCAAAACCAAGTTTTGAAATCCAAATATCTATAATTCCAAACTCCACAGTTAGCAGACAGATTGTTTCTCTTGAGTGTAAAAATGAAATGACACTGTCCATGAAGAGATTATAAGATTGATTACAATGAAAGCAGTTAAAAAATTAAAATGCTAGAGCTCTGCTTAAAGTGTCCTATAGTATCATGATTTCATTCTGCCACATCAACTTTATTTTTATTATCTCATTTATGGCCAAAAGCTACCAAGAAAAAGTTGTCTTTCACAAACTACTCTTTGTATCAACGAACATGCACATTTTAAAAACCAGTTGGTATATAAACTAACTGCATGTAGTCTTGGACTTTTTATAAGCCTCTCCTTTCTGAATTATCTTCTTTTTAAAAGGAAATAATACATGTGTGAACAATGCATGTGTGAAGAGAATTTCAATGGGAAAGCATTATCCCTCTTCCCCAATAAATAACATAAAAATAAAAGGACCTTTAAAAGACACTTTCTCTAACAGTACTTTTCTGAATAAAATAAACAAGAGCAACGGGCACCTTGACTACTACTTAGGAAATAAAATCAGAACACAGGGAAATCTGTAATTCTAATCACATTTACACCTTCTCTCCTTTTTTACATTTCTCATCCAAACATCCTTAGGAGCTCAATAGGCCTAAAAGAATTGGAGCAGAGTAGAGAACAAAGGTGAGGGGAATCTGAGAAACAGCTGAAATGGCCCTTCTCACCACCTTAATAATTTCAAATTGGTAAAGTAGTTTACAGAAGATTAAAAGTCACAAATGTGGGAAGAAACTGTAGTGAAAGACAAGTACCATAAGATTTCAGTCAATGTAGAATTTAACAAACAAACTGAATTGCCAAGCAAAATAGAGACAGCCTCATGGATAGAGAGCAGGTGGGAGGGGTGAATTGGGGGTGGTGGAGGGATTGAGCCAAAAAGAAGAAAAAAGAGAGAGAGAACTCATGGACATGAACAACAGTGTGGTGACTGCGGTGGGGAGGTGGAAGAGGGCATAGAGAGGATAGATGGTGATGGAAAAATTTAAATTAAAATAAAAAGTTGTTCTACCAGCTTATATTATTTTTTAAAAGCATTTTGGCTAGATAGCTCAGAAATGAACGTTTTGTGAACAAGAAATGCAAGAAAGCACTTAAAAATAAACTTTTAAGGAAAACAAATACGAAATGTAAATGTATTTGCTTTTGTCGATGAAAGCCTGTGTGCTAAATAAATACATTTGTTACAGAGAATGTTAATATTTGTGCTTTAATGTGGAAATGACTACTTGTATATTAACTATGCTCTCTCTTGAGATTGAGGATAATTTTAGAAAACAAGATAGCCAACTACTATCCTTAATCAAGCTAAATGTTGAAGAACATATAAAATTAAGAAAAGCATTTAGGTCACATGTCATATGTGCGGTTTACTCAATTTGGAAATTAATTTTTTTTTTTTTACTGGGAAGAAGAGAAATATCAATCTTAAAAGAAACAGCTCAATATTTCATTTGCCTATTAAAATAAAATTTGAACAACAATACAGAGACAAGAAAAGTACAGAATTATATCAAATTCATATGTGAATGCCTTTTACTGGGCGATTCTAATTCAGAATAATTCTCTTGTATGACTTTTTCTTATTGCAAATATCAAAGGAAGTTAGCACTTCTTCCCACCAGCACCACTCGAGTGCCTCAGAGTGCAACCCTGCACAGCCCCCTTAGGAGGTGCTACTATAATTCCTCCATCATCATAAGCCACAGATCAATAAAGGTACTCGCAATGGGCAAACAATCCGGAATGTCTCAGAAAAAGAAGGTGATTGCTATCCTGGCGTGTGTGTGTATGTGTGTGTGTGTGTGTGTGTGTGTGTGTGTGATGTGTATCAAACCCAAATAAATACAACCATTTCCTTCTCTGCAGGGCAGAGCTTCAGTTTCTCCTTACATACTGGTAAAAGGCCATGATATGCTGTAAAGTTCCTCTTCAGATGAGATGAAACACACACAAGGTCCTAGAAATGTAACACCTTCTAGTCCATGCGTTGCATCCAGTGGGAACCAGATATGAAAGTTGGGTGAAATCAAGGCCTTACTAGGGAGCTGTCAACATTCACTGAACATATCAGCCAAAATTATGGTAAATGGGAGGCAAAATCTAATAATACAGGTAAGGATTTCACAGCTCAATGCCCTCTCTGCGTCCTCCTCCCCAACACACACCCCCAGGTAAGTAAGGTTTTATTAGCTATCGATAAGTGAGGTTTACTTTTTAATGAAAAGAATGCACTGAAATAAGAAAGCAGATTTAAAGGGGGTCCTATTGCACAGAAGAATTGCCCTAAACTGAGAATTTCAACTATGTTGTTTCAAATAGCACAGAAAAAGCACCTAGTACGGAACAGATAGTCACATAAATATTGGTGTTTGCTTAAAAAACTGGTCACATAAACTAACATGGATTCGGCGTTCCCAAATGCCTAGGCTGTCCTTGTAGGATGACTCCAGAACTGAGTTCATAGCCAGCAAAGCAATCAAGCAGAATACCTACTCCGTGGCGCTCACAGCAAGTCTCCTCATCCTAAAAACTCACGCAGAGAACGGATTTTAGACTCAAGCATCCTGCACAAGTTCTTTGTTAACCAATACTGTACGCTCATAGTACTCGTCTGTGTTGGCTTCATAGTCAAGCTACATTGTTCCAGGAAGATCTCAGCTCCAGACACCTGCTATTGCGTTTGACAATTAAGACCTATTCTTCCAAGCCTACCCTAACCTGGAGATTCCGCGCCAGCGGAAGGGAATTTGTGCGGTAGGGGCAGGGAGCAGAGGGCAATGGAGCACATAAAAGGCGCATACAGGGAGCAGAATCTACACTGGCTACGCTTGCTGTACTCTCTCCCCTTCAATCTTTGGTGCATCTCATCCCTGCTCAGTGGCTCCCCAATACATTCAGTTTGTTCGCCTGTTGCCATCACACCTTTCAGGAGTTGAAACTACCAGGTGATTCCGAGAGACAATACTGGCCAGTTCGGTTCCGGGCAGAGGGTTTGGTGCCGGGGCTCGGACGCCAGTGCGGGTGGGTGTACCGGGTCCCAGTGCTAATTACAGAGGAGGTGGGCTGTCCCGTCAGTGCCCCGCTCTCCAGCGAAGAAGAGTAACGCAGGTTTGCCTTTTTCGTATCAAACTTGGAGCGACCAACCCAACTCCTTCCACCCAAATAGAAAGCACATACGGGGCCCCCGGCGGGGCACTGGTGAAATTCCCACCCGGAACAGCTGTCTGCTTTACTGGCCTGTTCCCACTCATCAGCCGAGACTGAGGGAAGCAAATGCCCAAAGCACGCCTTGGCCGCCGACTATTCCCATGGTCCAGGAGACCCGGACCTGCGCGGCGGCGCTCGGGATGGTCACCCCGAGCTTCCCCCAGAGGCCTCACCGGATTCACCTTGAGCGGCCAAAGGGCCTGAACGGTCATCTTCCCACCAAGGGCCACCCCAGGAGGCTGGGCGCAGTGCCTGCCGGCGCTCGGGACGCCCCGGCCCGCGCCCAGGCGCACTGCGCGGCGCCGGCCAGCGTCGCCTTACCTGGCCTCGGCGAATCTGGCAGCCCCTTGACCGCTCCCACCAGGCGCCACTGGAAAAGTTTCCGAACTTCCTCGCAGCTCTGCCCGCCGTCGCTGCGGGCAAATACAGCAAGAGCCAGAAGGAGGAGACAGCAGCAGCCCACGCGCCAGGTCGGTCTGCCCATCATCGGTGTCCTCATCACCCCTTTCCCACCGTGGATCCCACTCCCCCGCGCGCCCGGCGCTGAACGCTCTAGAAAAAGGCTCTGAAAAGGCTTTGCAAAGGCTCGGAGGTCCAGGCTCCCTAGAGGTGCCGTCCGGCGGCTTGCGTTCCGGGACCGCTCGGGACACGCGCTGCACCTGCGAGCACTTGGCTTTCTCCGGAGGAGCCCGGGGCGGAGACACCAGAGTTCTCAGGCAGAGCGCCGCCGCGTCTCCCGCTCCGGCGGGGCCGAGCTGGCGCTGCGCGGGCGCGAAATGGAACTGGAGCCGCACGGGGCTCGCGGGCATCCGGATCTGGCACCGCTGCGGTCGCCACCGGCTCCGCTGGAAACCGCCAACCTGGGACGCGCCAGCCCGCGGCGCCCCGCGGCCAGGCCCCGCCCTCGGCACCCCGCCCCGAGCCGCGCGAGCCCTGCTGCTCTAATGCGGGGATCCACGCAGCAGAGGCTGGAGAGCGACGCTGCCTGGAGCAAAGAAACAAATAGATGAAATCCAACCCGGTCCCCGCTCTGCCAGCCAATCGCGGGGACAGTCTGAGAAAAGAAAGAGCGAATGTATGAAGAGGCTCAGAGAACACAAGACAGGAGAAGCACCACCTAGAGCGAAGATGAAATATTTCCCTATAAATCTCGGTCCTCTGTACATAGGACTTTGTATTCAAATTGCATGAAAAGGTATCTCGGCATCATATAAAAAGCAAGAACGGTTTACAGTTAAATATCCCAATTGAGAGGCTTAATAGCACTTACAGGTTTTAAGAGCGTACTTGAGCAGTTACTTTTTTAATCGCTTTCTGGTCTGCTTTGAAACATTTTTCTGTAACATTACGATTTTCTGAATTTAGAAGTCATAAAAATTACATTCAAATCTTATCACATTCTTATCACAGTAAAGTCGTTTATTCATTTAACATCATATTTTTATATATGTTTTCATTTATCTCAGAGAGGAAGGGAGAGGGAGAGAGAGTTAGAAACATCAATGATGAGTATCATTGGTTGGCTGCCTCCTGCACGCCCCCTACTGGGGATCCAGCCCGCAACCCGGGCATGTGCCCTGAAGAGGAATCAACCATGATCTCCTAGTTCATAGGTCGTGCTCAACCACTGAGCCACACCAGCTGGGCCAGCATCATACTTTGTATTTCAATATTAAGGGCACACTTCTCGAATTTCTTTAGCACACTTCTCAAAGATTTACTAAGGTAAGAGTGGTCAGGAGACTTTCTCACAAGGAAGATAGAAAAATAAAGACTGTAAGTAATTTTTCAATGACAAAGGAATTTTCTCAATTTACGAAAGGAATGCATTAGACACCATAAGCAAAGGGCCAGATACATTTTCTTTTCTTTTTTTAACCCTTCTTCTTTTTGATTGCGGTAACATTGGTTAATAACACATGTGTTTCAGATATACAGCATTATAATTTGGTATCTGTATGCACTGTAGCATGCTCACTACCAAAAGTCTAGTTTGCATCCTTAACCATACATTGGACCTCCTTTACACATTTTGCCCACCCTTCCCCTCTGGTAACCAGCAATCTGTTGTTTATATTTATGAATTTGTTTTTATTTTTGCTCATTTGGGTTTTTTGTTGTTGTTTTATATTCTATATGAGAGAAGTCATGTGGTTTTTGTCCATTTCACTTAACATAATACCTTCAAGGTCCATCCATGTTTTCACAAATGGTAACTTTTACCTTTTTGATAGCTAAGTAGTATTCCATTTGTGGTATATATGTGTGTGTGTGTGTGTGTGTGTGTGTGTGTGTATTCGTTGGATAAATACTCAGAAGAGGAATTGCTATATCATATGCATTTTCTAAATGTGATTGCCTCAATACTAAGCCTGTGAGTGATAAGAATGTCTGCATCTATAGGTACCTAAAGACAGAAGTCCTCCAGTAAAACAAAACTCCTTAAAAGCATCAGGCAGAGGGGTACTATAAATGCCTTAACCACTCAAAGGGAATTTAATCTCAAATTTGAACCCTTGCCAAGAGGTAGAGATGAATAATTTTAAGTCTTAGTTAAGTGTCATGGGACTTTTAATGACCATTTGATATCAAGGCAGTACTTTCAGCAGTAGATTGCTTGCTTTAAAGCCATTCCAGGGCAATGGCTGAGATACTTCAGTGAAATAGCACTCATTTGGCTTTTGACATCAATTCCATAAATACTAGATTTTTTTTGAGAAGCTCTCTTAATAAATGAGAAGTGAAAAAAATAGCTGCTTTTAAATTCAAGCAAGGCTTTATATATGTATGGGGCGGGGGGAGATTCCCCATGAATTTCTTCTTCTCTAGACACCAAGTGTGGAAAGAATGCTTGAAAGTCAGCTATATTTAGGAGAAGAAAAGACAGCCGTGAGGAAGTCACAGTGCTTAGGTGCCAGACAATAGTCTGAGTGCTGCTCATGGATACTAATTCATTCATTTAATCTTTATAACAACCCTATAAATTAGATGCTATTATCATTTCACAAATGAGCAAACAGGCACAGAGAGGTGAAGTGACTTGCCCAAGGCCAACAGAGCTGTTAGGTAGTGGAACCAGGAATTAAACCCGCGCATTAGAATCCAGAACTCATACTATTAACTACAGGCTCTCCTGGGTCACTCCGTGGCACACCAAGGAACCTACTGAGTTACATCCAGTAACACCAAAGGCTATTTATTAACTTATCAGATTTTTATTATTAAATATACACAATTTTATGTATAGAATTTTATTCTACTATAATCCTGTCTACGTTACTATAAGGCTAATATATCTCCAGATTTCTCTAAAGCTTCTTTTTTCTTACCAAGATCTCTTTTTGATAGATTTGATCATTATAGAGTATTAGCATTGAAAGAATTTTTAGAGATGACCTGGACCAATTTATTAACTTGGAATCTCTAAAACAACTTGTCTTACAAGGGTAAAAAATCACAGACACAACAGAGAATTATTGATGGCTCAGTAAATCTAATCAACTAACAAAGACTGATTGCACACATACTATTTTTTTTAAACCCAATATGCTAGACATAATAGGGATTACAGAGACATGTAAGCAAGTTCTCTTCCCAGCGTTTTTACAATTCATTTCAACAGAACAATTAGGTGGTAAGTTGTATAGAGAAATGGAGTAAGATCTAATGAGAAAATATATTTCACCCATATAAAATGTCTCCAATTATAAAAAAATAAATATTGTGTTGCTGCATCTTATCTTCTACCGCTACCACAGTGGATGCCCCAACAGTGGCTTCAAAGGGCTTCTTTTCCTATCAGTGTCCCTCTAATGCACAGTTATGTGCTGACTATGCTGTAAAGCTTCAAGACAAGTTTCCGTCTTCCAAACAGAATACAATACCACAGTGTCTTTTATATGAACATTCTAGAGCAATAGCAAAGTGCCTTTTATATGAACTAATAACTATAACTATTCTTTTGTTCAATTTATACATGTAAATATTACAGATGAAGCTTGGGGGAAATTTCCATAATTTGATAGTGATGGTACCTCATTTTTCAAAGGTCATACAATATACATGTACTGAATGCCTTTTATGTAATAGGCACTGTGTTTTTGCTTTCAAAATATCAATAGCCTTCCATAGGAAAGATCTCTAAATGGTCTTTATGTAAAATACACCTTAGTAATCTTTTTTTTAAAATATTATTTTATTGATTTCAGAGAGGGAAAGAGATAGAAACATCAATGATGAGAGAGAATCATTCATCTGCTGCCTCCTGCATGCCCCCAGAGGGGGTCAACCCCAAAACCCGGGCATGTGCTCTGACTGAGAATCAAACCGTGACCTCCTAGTTCGTAGGTCAACACTCAACCACTGAGCCACACCAGCCAGGCTTAATAATCTTCTAAGTGCAATACTTCTAAGTAACTGTTTACAGTGTAACAACTCAAGACCTTGTAAAGAGAAATAAAGAATCACAAGTATGGTTAGGATGATATGAACGATATCATGTTGCCCTTAACCATGACTACTAGTTTAGGATAAGACTGGCACTGGTTAGATTACCTTCAGAAGCTGGTTGAGGTAACTTCTGTACTCAAACAATAAGAATAGCTAATATTAAGTAGTTACAGGTATTATCTCATTTAACATCTCAACCACCCCATGAGACTGTTCTACTAATAATGAAGAATCAGACTTAGAGAGATTTAAAGTAACTTTCCAAAAGCCACAGATTTGATAAATACCCAATTTTTAGCCAGGCATGCCATCTCCCGCGCTCCTTCAGCCACTACGCTCTCCTGCTCTGACAAACCAAACACCTGCCCTGTGGCCCCTTGACCCAACCTATCCTATATGGGAGAAGGCCTGGTCCTCAGTGCTATTCCTTGTGGGCAGTCAGCTGGACCTCATCTTCACAGTGGTCCAGAGACCTGCGGGGTCCTAACCCTGGCCCAATAGCACTTCCCTCCGCAGTTGGACCAGGTACCATTTGCTTCGCCCTCTGCCCCCCACTAATCTTTTAATCATGACAACTGCATTGTAAGGACTAAAAGCCAATGTGCTGTCTTGATATCGCTGAGCCTCTTGAGGGCTCAAAGGCCTAGCCTTGGTTCTGCTCTTGCCAGATATGCATCCCCCTCTCACCAGCAGGAAAGGCTCCTCTATCAACCAGACCAGCTCCATCCTACCTTATCTTCAGCCTAATTTTCCCTCCCAGCAGCCTGTGAAATTATCAAACAAGTCGATCGCATTCTTCCATGGAACCAAGGGTCACCTAACCCTCTTGTCACTACAAAGCCTGCCTTCCACAGCCCTTGCTGGTTCACTTTGCTCCCAAATGCAACCCTCGTTTAGCTCTTCATGACATGTCGTGTCTTCCTCCCCTGGATTGTGAGCATATGTAACTAAGAAACTGCTCTCCAGTGTCATGGGTTTAGCCATCTCATATTAATGAGGGTGAGTAGGAGGCTGTTAGAACAAGAGTAGCCTCAATGCAGGTGCTTCCACTTAGCTATTTAAAAAAATAAATAAATTTTACTTTCGCCTTGCTGACTTTCTATCTCTCCCAAGTGCAGGCTTTATCCCCGTAGCTGCGCTATTAAAGGGCGTCAAATTGGAGGTCAGCCCCAGATGACCTTAGTAATGAATTTCTGCCACCAAGTAACCAGAAGGAAATTGAGGGATCCTCCCAGATGTCTCTTTGGGTCAAGAGAACAAAGGCTGAGAAAAGGCTGCCTGCAGGAGAGCACTCATAGGACATACGACATTCCATAAAATGCTTAAAACCAGACACCAAGTTGAAAGTTAAATGAAAGTCATTGGGAAAGTGACCAGCAAACACATTTTCAAGCAAATGCTTTCTAAAAATATATATCTACTATAATTGGATAATCTATATTTCCAATTCAAAAATCCTCATTGGCTAATCACCAATACGCATTTATCAATGATT